GTCATCTGAACTTCAGTACTCAGAAAGACAAGTGCAAGCCTTCAAACAATCAATTTGCAATCACAGGGAACTCAGCACAGAGTAGGCACTGGCAGCCCTTTCAGAGAACATTTTTGTGTCATGAAGAAGAGATGGGAGGCAAGATATAGAACTATGTGGATTTTAGTGATAGATCTTCATCGTTAATCAGGAATTCCTTGAGCTATGTACCTTGGTGTCTTGATAGTGTATATGGTATGTACACACTCTTCAAAATCATTTGAACTAAAAGAGATTGTTTCATAAATTAATATGCTACAGCTATTTGACATATTTCATCTTCAACCACAAAGTAATTCCACCTCTTTTGATGAGCAAAAAGGTGATTTGACCCAGTTTATAGGCCTGTCATAATATTGAAACAAGCTGTATGGTTCTATTCTTTAAGGCAGGACGTCAAGCACATAAATAATGTTATCAATCATCTCCTTAAAAATGCCTCCAGGAGGAGAATCTTGCCAAAATAATCACTTCACTCTTACAATGAATGATAGGCTCAATCTTGGCCACAAATTTGTCCTATTGATGTGTTTGGCATAATTTCTCCAGATTGAATCTGAGAGTATTACAACCCAGCATATAAAAGCAAAATAAAAATCCCTACTATCTCCAAATGTGGTATGTGCTGTGTGCTCAGTCATGTCTGATTCTTTGCGATCCCATGGACCATAGCCCACCAGACTCCCCTGCCCATGGAATTCTCCAGGCAAGAATACTGGAGTGGGTTGTCATTTCCTTCTCCACCAAATGTGGTAAAATTCACATAATATTCATTTCTTCAAAATTTGATGGCATTATTTATTTTAATCAACTTTGGGTCTCTAAAATGGATATTCTATTTGGGGTCTTAGTGTTTTCAGACTATACTTTGTTTTTCTCAAGGAAAAAGCAGCTAATAGTTCAGGATTGTAAAATTAATCAGAACTTGACTTTACATTGAAGCCACTTTAGATAAATTCAGTGGTTCAGTATTAAAATATATTCATTAATTTTTTGAAAAATCTATATAACAAAATTTCTATAAAAGTCAAAATTGGTTAGAAACAAAATATAAAAATAGTGCTTTATCTCAAAAAAGAATTATAAAAAGAAGAAAATAAAAATGGCCCACAATTCTAACACCACTGTAACATGTTTTCATTAGATATCAATAAAAAAATACAATGCAAATAAAAAATAAAGCCTCCCCAGTACTTTAAGTATAATAGCAGTTTTCACATAATTGTCCAGAAATATTCTATGTGGAACCAATACTAGTATTTTTACTTATTCAAATCTTCTGGTAAAGTATTTAATATCCAACTTTTAACTATCTTTATTTAATAGTTATTTGAACTTATTCTGCTTTAGCAAATATAAATATGAATCATTTTTGACTGCCACATAATATTCAATGGTCAATAAACCTTGTTAACCAGATATGATGGATATTTATATTTTAGCATAGACTTTGCATTGAAAAAAATTCCTGATCTAGGTTTATATCAAAAACTAGTAGAGCCATGAATGAAATTACAATTTAAGGTACACATAAGAGTTTTCTCAAGATTGAGCAGAAAAGAGACACCACAAAATCAGCTTACTCTAAAGCATTAGGAAGAAAATTTTGGGGAGAATTCAATGAGATGATTCTTATGAAACCTTAGTTGAGTGCTAGAAAACAACCACGCTTGAAAAATGTTCATTTGGGAAGTAGCTTAGAGAGGTGGTAGGGAGCTAGTGTGTGAGGCTCATCAGCTGGCCTGGTGAGGCAAGGAGTAGATTGGTGACCCATGAGATAGGGACTAAAGAGGAAAAACATCCTGAGGGAAGGGAAAATGTCAGCTAAGGTGATGAGGTAGAAGGGCTATATGAGGGAAAATTAAGTGAAGTGAAAGGTGTTCACAGGAGAGTGGAGTCACACAGGGCTCTTGGAAGCAACTGACAAACAGGAGGCTGGGTGTTATGGAAAAGGAAGACAGGAGATGGAAGCAACTGAGAATAATGAGAACTGCTCACTTTCTTTACCAGAAATGTGGATGCTTCCCATGGAGAGTTCTTGCTAAAGATAAGCTTTCTTTATTCATAAACCATGAATGAGGTCTTAAAATATATATCAGGTAGAAGAAAATATATCTTTTTTAAACTTTATTTTTTTATTGAAGGATAATTGCTTTATAGAATTTTACCGTTTTCTGTCAAACCTCAACATGAATCAGCCATAGGTATACATATATCCCCTCCTCCTGAGCCTCCCTCCCATCTCCCTCCCCATCCCACCACTCCAGGTTGACACAGAGCCCCAGTTTGAGTTTCCTGAGCCATACAGTAAATTCCCATTGGCTATCTATTTTACATATGGTAATGTAAGTTTCCATGTTACTCTTTCCATACATCTCACCCTATCCTATCCCCTCCCCATGTCCACAAGTCTATTCTCCATGTCTGTTTCTCCATTGCTGCCCTGTAAGTAAATTTTTCAGTATCATTTTTCTACGTTCTCTATATATGTGTTAGAATATGATATTTATCTTTCTCTTTCTGACTTACTTCACTCTGTATAATAGGTTCTAGGTTCATCCACCTCTTTAGAACTGACTCAAAGGCATTCCTTTTCATGGCTGAGTAATATTCCAATGTGTATATATACCACCACTTCTTTACCCATTCATTTGTTGATGGACATCTAGGCTGCTTCCATGTTCTAGCTATTGTAAATAGTGCTGCAAAGAACAATGGGATAATGTGTCATTTTCAATTTTGGTTTCCTCAGGGTATATGCCTAGGAGAGGGATTGCTGGGTTATATGGTGGTTTTATTCCTAGTTCTTTAAGGAATCTCCATACTGTCTTCCATAGTGGCTGAATCAATTTACATTCTCACCAACAGTGCAAAAGTGTTCCCTTTTTTCCACACCCTCTCCAGCATTTATTGTTTGTAGACTTTTTGATGATGGCCATTCTGACCAGTGTGAGGTGATATCTCATTGTAGTTTTGATTTGCATTTCTCTAATAATGAGTGATGTTGAGCATCTTTTCATGTGTTTGTTAACTATCTGTATGTCTTCTTTGGAGAAATGTAGGTTTATCTTTGAGTTAAAAATACTATCCCTCTGAAAAGTTTTCCCAAACCATTGATTTCTCCAACAGTATTTCCTATGATACAACCCCCTGACCAAATAATCGAGAGGAATGGGACAAATTGAAACTAAGGCTCTTGAAGCTCTAGAATCGAATGTTTAATATAATGTAATGTTATATATTAAATATATGCATATTCTGAACTAAATCATTCATTAATCACCATGAAATTTTCATTAGCCCTTGTAGAAAAATTGTTAATACACAAAAATGTTCAATTCTGGTTTGAACAATGGGAAAAGAGAAAGTATAAGTCAAAGTAGAACTTAATTACTTGATCTAAGTGCAGAAATCTTATTAACATGAATACTGCAAGAACTCAAAATACTATGCATGCTATGACTACTCTCAGTAAAGGCAAGGAAGATATATTTAAGAATACATTTCAACATCCAAGGAGCATAATGAGAAAAGAGCAGTAGCCATGTCAGCCGAATATTTTATTTAAATTTAATTATAGTTCCTGCCTTCAGTAATATTTTCTGTGAAATCAAAGATTTCTTATGAGATACTCGAATATAAACTATAAGTAATCATTTTACTATATCAGGAATGTAACCTTTAACTATAATGAATATGATCACCCAGAAATAAACAGTTTTTATTACATGAATTTATACTAACATTAATTACAGTATATGTTTATCATGGCAAATTGAGTTTGCTAAATGACATTTTAAATGAACTCATCACTTTTGTGGTAACTAAACTACCTATCCCTATATGGAGTAGGCGTGTTTATAAATCAGAAAATTTAACACCCTATCTTTTGGCAGATTTCTCAATATAAAATACACTAAAACATTCAAATATACACTCAGCACAGGCCTACATTCTATGATAATCACTAGCACTGGAAATTCAACCAATTTCCGGCCAATTACATGGGCCAACACTATGGTTTCAGAGAGAAAATAGGACTTTCTCAAGCCCAAGAAATTACTTGAGAGCACAACCAGTTATAGGAAGCGAAGGAAAATAAACTCAAAGAAATTCTAGACAGTGAGAAAAAAAAGGTAAAAAAAAATTCACTCCTGAGCTTGAGAACAATTGACAGCATATAAATAAACAATGCCTCCAACAGACATACATAAAAGTACCAGCTTTCTCCATTTCTCTCTCTCTATCCCCACACCGCTCTCTCACACACTCTCAAAGAGACAACTGTAGGAAACACATGAACACTGTGTGCTGTGTGCTGTGTGCTAAGTTGTTTCAGCCACGTCCAACTCTGCAACCCTATGGACTGCAGCCCACCAGGCTCCTCTGTCCATGGGGATTCTCCAGGCAAGGATACTGGAGTGGGTTGCCATGCCCTCCTCCAGAGGATCTTTCTGACCCAGAGATCAAATCCCACATCTGTTGTGTACTGCATTGGCAGGCAGGTTCTTTATCACCAGCACCACCTGTGAAACCCATATTGACCCTGCGGTGACATATATCCAGATATCAACGAATCTTTGCCCAGGTATTCACATTTCATTAAACGTCCTGACTTTCTAAATAGTTATAAAATTAAAGTTAAAAAAAAAGATATTTGAGAAACAAGATAGATCGGCTAGATGTTAAATAATACTTAATAGAAAAAGTGAGATTGTTTAGTAAGCCATAGATGGATACCAAAGACAAGAGACCTTTCAGAACACCACATAATGCTATCACATTTCTAAAATGTCAGAAGAATCAAATTTTTCTTGGACAAACAAAAGAGAAGGAATTAATGTATCCTCTGACCTGTGGGACAAAGTTAAAACTGAAGTAACGCATTCAAGAACAGGGGAAAATAAATACAAGGATGAAAGTGGCTGCTCGGTTTTCACAGATCACTACACATAAAATACCTTTTTACTATGTCTTCTCCATTCCAGCATGGTAGTCCATCAACGGCCTCTAATTCATTGGCACAAAGCTGATCAGCCAGGCCCCCATAGAACGTCCTGTACAGTCGAAGGCTGCTGATAAATTCTCTGAATAGAAAAACAAAGAAAACAGTTAAACGCCAAAATTCATAAGAAATGCCAATATAAATGGCATGATGCTATGCATAATGTTTAGAAGGCAGCTCTTATAATTCTCTACTTATTTTCATATATTTAATACTTCTCTAACAATAGAGACAAAAAGTACATCTTTTAAAGATGTATTAAAATTTATTCTCTTAAATAAAAGTTTTCACTGGGTATGAACTTTATATAAGTATAGGTCCAAGAAACTGTGAATAGTACATACACACACACAAATACATGTCACTTTATTTAGCTAAAAGCCCTCACTAGTTACTTGTATTTAAACCAGTAGTTACCAGTAGTTAGTGATACTAACTACTTTCTTTTCCATATAGAAATGTCAGAGGCTTACAACAAACTGACTGACTGCTTACTGATTAAAAGTTTTGTAAGCTTGGGTGATTCTCCCATCTGGGTCTTCTCTTTGGTGTCTAAGGACATAAAGTGATGCATCTTTACTAAATATGAGAGAACTCAGGTATGTGACACACTTCAGCAGCATGAAAATAAAAGTGATTGGAGTGAGCAATGTATAATACATTTGCTAAGTTATTTTGCCCTCTCATACTGATTCCCTTTTCAGTATAAAGTGCAGAAAGAGGAAATTCAACAAAACGGCAGTTTTTCAATTTAGAAATCCAAGACTTTGGAGTTTTAAAGCCAAAGCTTTGAGGTCTCAAAACCTTGAGTTCTAGCATTTCAAAAGACCAAGTCTTAAAGACTTTAGTTTCGAACTTTTTCACATACATAGCTGTTCTGGGGGAAAAAAAGAAAACTCACTAGTCTAATCCAGATGAAATGTCCCCTGGACCAAAAGGCAGGGACAGGAGATGTTGGAAGGAAATGTTGGAAGGACAGTAAACTTCAGAAATCTGGATGAGTGATTGAAATATAGCAATTATGAAACCACATTCCCTATTGATACTTTTGAAAGAATTTCTTTGAAAATGAAATTAAACAGCAGAGGTGGTTATATATTATAGCTGGAACAATCAAACTTTTAAAAATTAAATCTAATTTTGAAAACACTAAGCCTCAACAGTTTCAACTTGTAATTTTCTTTCTCACTGGCATTTGAAGAACTAGTGATATAAAACTGCTGGAGTTGTAAAAAACCACCACTCTGTTGGAAGGATAAATACAACTTTCAAATATGTAAGATTTGCAATCATAGAGAAAATCAGACATTCCCATGGCAAGTGTCTGGTGAGTATTTAATCAAACTTTTGAGACCCTGGTTCAATTTCTGGGTTGGGAAGATTCGCAGTGATTTTGGAGCCCAAGAAAATAAAGTCTTGTCACTGCTTCCATTGCTTCCCCATCTATTTGCCATGAAGTGATGGGACCAGATGCCATGATTTTTGTTTTTTGAATGTTGAGTTTTAAGCCAGCTTTTTCACTCTCCTCTTTCACTTTTATCAGAGGCTCTTTAGTTCTTCTTCACTTTCTGCCTACCCACTCCAGTAGTCTTGGGCTTCCCTTGTGGCTCAGCTGGTAAAGAATCCACCTGCAATGCAGGAGACCTGGGTTCAATCCCTAGGTTGAGAAGATCCCCTGGCGAAGAGAAAGTCTGCCCACTCCAATATTCTGGCCTGGAGAATTCCATGGACTGCATAATCATGCGTCAGATATGCCTAAGCAACTTTCACTTTCACTTTTCCTTAGCAAAGCTTGACTGGACAAGTAATAACAAAACAAATCTCTAACTCATGCTCAGTCAAAAAAAAAAAAAAAAGATGCTCTATCTTCTCACTAACACAGTTAAATGATTATCTATATTTTATCGATTTCCTCTACTAGAAAATTAAGCCTCTCCTTGATGGCTATGTTCCACTAACTATAATGCATGAACAAACATCAATTCTCATGCTGCAGCTATTAAAGCATAATTAACGAAACTGACTGGTTCTTTCTTAGAGAGCGGGGTTTAATGAATGAGATGTGTGACTCCATTCCTGATTTCTATCCAACATAAATGACCACCTGTTTGGAATCAAAAAATCTTCTGGAAATGAAGAGGCCTGGCACAAATGGCTGCAGATGTTGTTGCTATGCAGTCACTCCGTTGTATTCTCTTTGTGACCCCATGGACTGTGGCACACCAGGCTTCCCTGTCCTTCATTATCTCCTGGAGTTTGCTCAAACTCATGTCCATTGAGTCAGTGATGCCATACTACAATCTCAACCTCTGTTGTCCCCTTCTCCTCTTGTCCTCAATCTTTACATCTTTCTTTTCCAGCCTCCTTTCCAATGCTTCTGCCATTGCTTTAGCTTAAGTCTTAATCTTTTCACTGGAATCACTGCACCTGGAGGACATACCTCCCATTTGTTCCTTAACAGTCACGTTCCATCCTCCATGAGATTCATCTATAGAAATTCAAATCTGGTAGCCCACAGACTATGCCATTCATTTGCATAAAGTCATCTATGCCTCTCTATTCTCTACAGCATGAAATCTAGTCTTCTTAGAATGGTATATAAGACACTCTCTCAATTTAAGCAACCCAATCCACAGCTTAGAGTTGCACAAAAGTGAGATGTTTGTTATTCTCCAAACAAACCTCTATGCCTTTGCCTTCATCCTCTCTGAAAGAGCATCTCTTAGAAGACTTCCACTCATTCCACAAACCATCAGCTATCAACTATATGTCACAAAATACTAAACACTATGGCATACCAAGCTGTGTTGGTGCCAGGGATTCACAGCTAAACAAAATAGCTCTGCCTTCTAAGAATATATATCCTGATAAAAATCCACAATAAAAATATAGTGTTAGTAAATAGTGTCATATTTGAGGACAGAGAAGGAATCACAAAATAGAAAAATAATATTTCCATGTTTCATGCAAAAAAAGAAGAAGCAAATAACAAAGATCAGGATGAGAGGGGGCAAAAAGGAAAGAGATCACTATGTGTTCAGAGAGTCATATGCAGTTTAGCTAGTGAGGAGTGTCTTCATGGGAATTATAAAGGGGGAAGGAGGCAAGATTATAATTAGCCATCTTGATCATCATAAGATGTTTCAGCTTTATTAATAAGGCAGTGAGAGCCATTAAAAGCTTCAGCCAGCAAGTGAGGTCATCATCGTTATTGCAGTAATGTGGAAACAGATAGAAGCGCAGTGAGGCCACTTAGGGGCCTATGTTGTGCTATTGTTGTGCAGTTGCCAAGTCTGACTGTTTGAGAGCTCACGGACTACAGCAAGCCAGGCTCTTCTACCCTCTGCTATCTCTGGGAATTTGCTCAAATTCATGTTCCACTGAGTTGGTGATGCTATCTATCCATATCATCCTCTGCCACCCCCTTTTCCTTTTGCCTTCAGTGTTTCCCAGCATCAGGGTCTATAACCAAGTTGAAAGGGAGATGTATGAGGATAGGAAAAAAAAAAAAAAAAAAACTTGCCAGTCAACATCAGAAAAACATTAGGAACCTATAATTTACAGGTAAAGATGTTAAGATAATAATTATCTTCCATCAGGTGACTAATGAAAAGACTGTATTCTTTACTGAGGTAAGAAATAAAGGAAAGGTGTAGAGGGATAAATTGGGAGGTCTGGATTGACATATACACACTACTATAAATAAAAGAGATAATAAGATCCTATTACATAGCACAGGGACCTGTACTCAATACTCTGTAATGGCCTATATGGGAAAAGAATCTAAAAAAGAGTGGATGCATGTATATGTTTAAAGGATTCACTTTACTGTACAGCAGAAGCTAACACATTTTAAATCAACTACACTCCAGTAAAAAGTAAATTTAAAAAAGAAATAAAGGAAACATCACCTTCTCAGTGTCCCTCACTGTATTAATGGTTGCCCTTATTTTTCTCAAGATTTCCATCTTTCCATGGCACATATTACTTTCTATTTGAGCATATAATGTACTTATTTATAATGTTTTATCATTTCTTACCTGTCTTCCACACTCCAATAAGAGGTTGAAGTAGGCAGGGATTGTTGGTTTGCTTTGTTCACCAGTGTAGCAGTGGTGAAGGATATAGACACTCAATAAGTAGTTACCAAATTAATAAATGAGTGAAAACTATTTAATAATTCATTCCATTCTTGACATGTTCAGTGCAAGATTTTTTTAAATCCAGAAAAAGAAATCAAGTAGAACCGTACCTTTCAAACTTAACATTTATAATATCATCTGAAGATCTGGCCAAAATGTAGATTTGGATTCAACAGTTTGGGAGGGGGCAAGTTCCAAGATTCTACATTTCAAAAAGGCATTGGATGATGTCCATCTTATAAGAACCATGAAAAAAAAAAAAGAACTGTGGATACCATGGAAGTTTGCTGTCAGATATGTGGACCAAAATCGGTGGACTGGATGTGTGATGCAAGATTCACCATCTACAGAGGTGGTAACTGAAGTCATGAACATGAATAATATCTCAGGCAAATAATACACAGTCAGAAAAAGCCACAGGGACTCAAAAGTAGGAACAAACAGAAAAAAATTTCAATGTTAAGAGTTATGAAAGCTAAAGAATGAGAAAATTTTAATTTAGAGAGATTCCTCAGTATAAAATGACATTATCAAAAATAGATTTAAAATGTTAAAAATGTCTTCTGTATGTGTTGACCATAATTGTTTTAGACTGAATTGTTTCCATCCCCAAAATTCATATGTTGAAGCCCTAAACCCCAATATGACTGTATACAGAGATAGGGCATTTAAAGAAGTAATTAAACTTACATAAGATACTATGGGTGGGTCTTAATCCACTGACCAGTGTTCTAATGAGGAAGAGACACTACGGGTACATGAATTCAGAGAAAAGGCCATGGGAGGACACAGCAAAAAGGTGGCAATTGCAAACCGAGGAGAGAAGTCTCAGAAGAAACCAAACCTGCTAACACCTTGATCTTGGATTTCTAGCCTCCAGACCTATCAGAAAATCCATTTCTGTCGTTTAATCCAGCCAGCCTGTATTATTTTGTTACAG